TTATAGCTTTTACGTTTCACGAATCAAACAGTGTCGAGTTGTTTTTTTGGGACTAGACCTTTTTGAAATGTAAAATTTTTAATATTAAGTTGCTGGCTGTCTGCTACAAATGGAGCCTTATGGATGTTTGCTGGACCAGTTTGCTTAGTCATTCTTGTAAGTTAATTGAAGTCCTTTTTTAACTTCATTTCTCTTCTCTATGATTTATTTATGTTATCTAAACACCACAAGCTACAACCTGAAAGGGTTATATTATATTTAAAAAGATGCATATGTTTGTGATTCAGATCAATACGTTGATGCTTTTGGTCGTCATGAAGACTTCGTTCCATCATTCAAAACACGAGAAGCACTTAAGGAGGTAAGTTGTATACTTAAAGCCAATATATTTATACTCGATACAGCTTTATCAGTTCTAAACCGTACATGTACAGCAAAGCCCATTTCCACTCAAGAAAATTTTCCACGAACAGAAAATTTTCCGAAAATATCATTGTCCATGTAAAGTCCGTTCTGCGCATACGTTCTGCGCAGGCTTACATTCCAATGGTCGGGACCCGACCGTTGGAATGTTTTTAATATTTCGTATATTTTGAACTTTCTTGAATTGAATCTCTAGTCTGTATTCATTTACAGGCATAGCGAAACCAGAAGAGTGTTAAAAATTCAGTATAATATATATCTAATCATATTTTACAACTGTAGCACTGAGTTCAAAATGTAAACAAAGCGTTTGTTTACATTACGGACTTTACATGGTTCTTCTAAAGAAGTTGAAAATTTTCAACTTCAAAATTTTTTTGCAACGGAAAATTTTACAATTTTTTCTTTCCACAGAAAATTTTCTTGAGTGGAAATGGGCCTTAATCACTGGGAAAAAATATGAAATCCATACTTTGAAATTTACAATTGCACCACTAAATCCACTGTACATCCATACTATTTCGATACTACATCCATAGTATGGAAATATACAATTATTATGAATAATCAGAATCCATTCTATTTCCAATAAAGGTCCAGACAATTTCCATTCTATGACCTTCTATGGATTTTCAATTTTTTCCCCAGTGTTTTAGGCCCATTTCCACTCAAGAAAAATTTTCACGGACAGAAAATTTTCCGAAAATATCATTGTTAAAAGTTGAAAATTTTCAACTTCAAAATTGTTTTCCGACGGAAAATCTGTGTCGACCAATCATATTTCACAAAATTTTCTTTCCGCGGAAAATTTTCCTGAGTGGAAACGGGTCTTAAGAGTTTGTTTGACCAGTGTCACCACAGGGGGAGACCGGATTACTTGGAGAAAACTTGCGGTGTTTGGTAGAACCAAACTGAAAGCACTCCTCATGCAGTCTTCCCACATGTGACTGAGGTGAAATTATCAGGGGTGTATATTCTTCTATAATCCCCCCCCCTGGGGTGGGGGAAAAGAATCAAAGGGTCTTAGGGCTAGGGAAGAAAATCAAAGAAGAGTAGAAAAAATGGAAAGGCAGGGGGAAAAGAAGAGAAAAATTTCCGTGGGTAATTCGTGAAAATCAGTGTTTCCACTTTCCAAAATGATTTTTTCTAATTTTTTCCTAATGGAAAGTAACTTAAATAAATATGAAAAGCTTTACTGAGGATTGCAAATTTAGTAAATAATAACTTATATAACTAGCTAATTTATAATTTAGGTATTTTATTCTATCTTGGGGAGGGGACAAATATACTATGTCACAGTATTACTATTATAGGTACAGGCCGTTGAGGCTGATGTAGTAAAGATATAGGGAAAAGAACATAGACGGATTTTCTGGGGGGGGGGGGTACAGGGGGGTGCTACCCCCCAAACAAAATGTCCACCCCTCCAAAAAAAAATTCAACCCCCCCCCAATATTCGGCATAATAAATAAATAAATAAATAGTCCACTCCAACGTGCAGAGTGTTGATGATACAAAATAAACGTAGGAGTACACTCGAACAGAAAAAGACAGTGCAACACTCTGAAACTAATCGCTCCTCGCTTGTATTCACTGGTTTATTGGAGCAATTGTAAAGTTTTGAAACTCTATTATCTTCCCTGAATAAAGTTTGCAGTGCCTTGTCATGCAAATAGCTTGCACGCAAGGAACATTTGGAATTTTTACGAACACTATTTTTAGTTTTTAATTCTTTTAGGAAATAGACTTGCCTAGATTTAATCTTTACGCCCCAAATATTATTTACATCGGAGTCGCATCATAAATTGTACTCGGATTCAAACAACACAATGTCAATTACTTTATAAAAGTAAAAGCATATTGTGTATTGGCCTACTGGGTTTACACTTTTACAGGTTCATTTCAACTCTCTCATGCAAGTCTCAACAGACAATCGGACATGCCAAATCCATTGATATGACAAATTGACCACTTCAAAAAACTTTTTGTGAAGCTAGAAATCATGATTTTTTTCAAATTTTTGCTGGGACACTTTGTTTTCCGCTCTCTAGACTCCCCCTCGCGGCTCTAGTGCTCCACCCCTAAAATATAGACCTTATACTGGGGTTTGGTAACACTTTGTGCTGCTTCAGTCACCTGCCCACGGCTCACCCCCCTAAAATTTCTGGCACCACCCCAGTAATAAATATTAAAATCCGTCTATGCAACATACTGTAAGTACTACAGGTAAAAAAAGATTTGATGCATTTATACAGGGACGTTGGAACAATAAAAAGGCAAGGGCACCTTTATAGACCTACAACTATGTGTTGACTGGCCAATGAAAGCCTGATTGTGCATGTTCCGTTGACGATAGCTGTTCTGTGTTCTGGAAATAAAGTCTACTCAAGGAACTATAACTGCACAAACACACTTAATCAGGTCACATTCAAGTTCACACCTCATGACTTTGCCCAAAACTGGCAGAATTTCTATAACACAAAGTGCACTTCTGCCCCCCTTGCCCCTTCTCCCTGCTTTTATATTAAAATAGATTTGACTCATTTGACATAAACTCATAAAGTCAAATACTTGTAGTCTTGTATGATTTCCGAGTATAAATGGCCCATTTTCCCACCAATTAAATCATAAGATAATTGTACCTTAAGGTCACAACTAGAATAGATTTCTATCAATGAAGGACTATCGCATTCGGCGAACATATAATAAGTCAACTTTTACGCTAAATGTTGTCGTTATCCATAAAACTAGAAGTTCGACATCCCTTTACGAAGCAGCTCCAGTCGCTCTTTCGACACACAATGTACATAAAGATTGTCACGTCCATCCAAATCAGTAGCTTTGTTGCCACGAACAGTACGAAATTTCGCCATGATTTACAATTTTCAATTTGTACTTTTGAATACCGCTCCTTGAAAATTGAGTAGTGAATACAACGAGTAGTGATGGGCGATACCGAGTACTCGGTATTCGATACCAGCGATACCACAAACAGCGGTATCGGTATCGATTACTAACGTGGTATCGTTCGATACTTGTACCCTTTTTTAAACGACTTGTTTAATTTCACTTCTTGGTTGAATAAGACTTAATGAACAACTAAAATAACTCTTTATGTTGCAAATGTGGTCCGCCAAGTCATGTATAGAAAATATTTATTACGTTTCGGGCTTTTGGTTTACTTATAGCTTTTTTTAGGTTACATACAGTAATGTAAAATGTTTTTCCGCTGACCGGGAGGTATCGAAAGTAGCCGATACTAACAATTTAAGTACTCACTTCCGGTATCGAAAATTGAAATTTTATGTTTATTTTGGTATCGAAATAGGTATCGGTATCGGCCGATACTGATTTTAAAAGTATCGGTATCGGTATCGAATTAAAAATCCTGGTATCGCCCATCACTAACAACGAGAGCCAGTCGAACAATGACGGCGCGTCCCGGGAAATCGATAATATGAATGAGTTACAATGCATGCCGGAAAAAGCTTCCAACCTCCTCTGAGCTGCAAGTTACTGGCCAGAGCAGTGCTTCCACTTTTAAAAAACATAATTTCCTTCCAGCCGGTTTTCAGCCCTTCAAAATGTCCTTATTTTTGAACAGCTGGGAAATTTGTTCCGCATGCGCCAGATTTCAATTTAAAGTTTGAAAAGGGTGAAGGCTAATTTCGGCATCAACTATTTCGCTGACCTCAGAATGACATTTCGTCAAAACATTTTTCTTCAAGATAGTTAAAAACAAATTTGGCATAGGGTTAGGTTAGGTTATGTTAGGGTGAGGGTAAGGATTAGGGTTAGAGTTAGTGTTTGGAGTAAAGCCTGGTTCACATATATGCCTGCGACGTGCCTGCGACGTACCGGCGACGATGCCGGTGGTAGCTTAAAACGTGAATTATGTGAATATTTGTTCGCCGATTGCCGATTGTTGAACGAACAAAACTGACGATATTTTAAGGCAATCTGGATAATTTTCGTTTTAAAAGCATTAACATGACATCTTTTACCCACGGTGGAGCGATCAGCTTGGTAAAGCTTCGCAAAGTATCTTAAATTCGGGAAAATTCACCTTGGTTCACGTTGTTCGCCAGATCCCCGGAAGTGATTTTTCGCATATATAATTTGGCTTCACTTTTCACACCTGGAGAAGCTATATCCAGTCTACTATTAAATCAGTGACTGGGACACGTTAACATTAACATTATATAGATATTTAGCCAGATCATTTAGTTAGGTCAAAACAACGACCATATAGGGAAGTTATGCCAATATATGGGATCGGATATTTTTTAGCAAAGTATATATAAACAGAGAGAGAGCGAACCGTGCGTATACGAACATTCTAGTGATTTGTGATAGTAATAAAGTGTGAAAAAGCAATATTTGTGCGTGGTTCATCCCTGGGAGGCGGGATATTCACGTTACCTGGCACCTAGGACGAAAATTTAGCGAATTAATTTGCATTTACGCGTATATTCTACGATGACTGAAGCGGCTAATCTTTTATTATTATTATTATTATTATGAACTATATTTCAACACCGTACAATTTCACCTATATTAAAATTAATTATGTACAAGATATAAAAAGAAAAAAAGGTGATCTTCCAACTGGCCGTGCTCACACAAACAGAAATAAGAAATAATTACAAGAAAATTATTTTAGGTAGATGGAAACAATGGCAGGATCACTTGATGTTAATTTGCATGCTTCAAGTTAGATTTAAAATTAGCAGTAGTTGTTCATGCTTTTATCGATGCCGGAAGGCAGTTCCAGACTTCCGCACCTCTGTAGGAGAATGTATTTTTCATACTATTTGTTTTTGGTTTAGGCAATGTCAAATCGGCTGCCGACTGTCTTGTGTTATGGTCGTGTACATCACCAACATTTGTGAATATATCACACAAGTAATCGGGGACAAATTTGTTTTTCACCTTGTACATGAGAATTGAAAGTTGTTGCATTCTTCTTTTTTCGAGGTTCGGAACTTTTAGCTTGTTTAATATATCAGCCGATCGTGTCGTATAATTCTCACGAGTGATTATTCGAAACGCTTTGTTTTGTAATTTTTGGACTTTAGCTGCTAATGTTTTCCCTAAGCAACCCCACACTTGAGCACAATAATCGAAATAAGATTGAATTATGGATTGGTATATTGTTATTAAGGTATTGAATTCGACTGTATCCCGGAGTCGTCTGAGAATAGCAAGGCCGGAAGTGACCTTTTTTGAAATGTGTTCGACCTGCGCGGTCCA